ACAAACACACACACACACATAAAATAAAGGTGCCAAATCCAGTCTCAAACTTCAGGCTGACTAAGCAATGGACTTCGTTAATAATAATCCTCATTTCCTGGGGCAAAATACCATTTTTTGAGACGAGCAATGAACCTGCCCAGCTGGATTTCCTTACTTGCTCCTTTGGCTTGCTGTCCTTCTGACCTGCCTTATCTCTCCAGCAGGATCCCTTTACTAGGTTTTCAACCTGCCTGATTAAAAATAGATAAGTAAAAGCGATGAATACATCAGATACTCTGAAATGGGGAGTACCACAATTCAGTGGGTTGGTTTTTTTTCTCTCTCTCTCTCAACCTTGGCAACTTTTCAGATGTGTGGATTCCAACAACTTCTCACTCTTCCAGAAATTATTTACAGTACTTTGTTTTCTAAGTTGGCATCTAGACTCAGGGTTATTAACCTGTGAGCTGCATCCAGTGTGGACTTCTATCTACATTGTGCAATTCTGCTGCTGAATCAGGTGAAGTGCAGTTGCTTCTGAAAATTCTCTGACTTCGCTAAATTCTGAAGAATTTTTGTAAGAATGGGGACAATTGTCAGCATTTTTAGGTGTTCAGAGAGAGACAATTTTGCAGGCCGTGTGTTAAGGGAGAGTAAACATTCTGCAACTTCTGAATGACTTGATCTCAAAGATATGCTGGTGCTCCGAGTAGCTTTCTGTAGTAAACCTAGAGTAGCATCCTTTTTACTCTCTCTGCAGGCCTGCCTATCAGTTGTGCCATTACGAATGGTTAAAAATGGAACATGACCGGCATTATTTGTTTCAGGAGGCCACCTCGGCCCTCGATTCTTGCAATAACTCACAACTTAAAAAGCTTAAATTTGGTCTCTAATCGGTGTCCTGAACAATGTCCTTTTTTTAGGTCACTGAAGATTTCTTGGCAACCTACCATGCTAACTACGGCTTCCCCACCGAAGGCTCCAATACCTCGGCCTCCGCTGCAAAGACTGAATCTAAAGCTGCTGCGGATTCCAAGGCCCCCAAGGCTCAGCCCAGAGTAGAAGCCAAATCGTCGCAGCTGTTGCCCACAGACCCTAAACAGAAAGGAGAAAAAAGAAAAGCCGATGCAGGCAAGAGAGTCTCCGCATTGTGCATGACTTAGAAGTAGTCTGCTCTTCAAGAAGAGATGCAGTGTCTTCCCGCGGAGTTGTGCTTGTGTGGGGCGGTCGTGCAAGAACATCTTTAGAGCCGACTCTAAAAAAGAAAGCCTTAATGTTCAAAGGATCCAATGGCAGCCGACTTGTAGGAAGTTGTGAATGTTGTTAAAGCTTTGATAGGTGTGAAGAAGATAGGAAGGTGCCAGGTTTATATCCCAGGAGTGTCTTTTTTTTTTTCTTTTTCCGTTCTTTCTTCCCCTCCGCAATCTGATGTGAACGTTAATCTGAAGAGCTGTTTTCTTTAGAGGTGCAATCCTAACTTATCATCATTTCCCCTCTAGGATGGTTTCATGTGGAAGAGCAGAAAAACACAAATGTTTATGTGACAGGTGAGGAGCAGCCTTGACTCTTTGCTGGCTGTGAATGCTGTGTGTGGTGAAATGGCCGTGGTTCTCCTTGGAAATGGATTCAAGCCCCTGAATATCGTTTTCAAATATTTCACGGCACACGAAATCTTTACCTCGGCACTGAGGGCTGTGGAGTAAAATTTAAGCGGGTAGGAAGAGCACTAAGTAACACATTCATTTAAACATTCTAGTCCTGTATATTCGAATTATTTGTGAAGTGCCTCAAAATGCCAAAGGCTGGCTTGGCGGTCAGTTTGTTCCCCTTTGTTTCCTGCTCTCTTCCTGAACTGAAATTTGTCTCCATTTGAATAAGGGTGGGTGTTTTGCTGTGCTTTAAAGGTGAGGCCAGCGCCTCTAAACAAATTCCAGTCACGTTCTTTCCTAATTAGAGAGTCACCTTGTGGCAACCCCGCTTTGGGTACATGGTTTAATACCTTCGCAGTTGAGTGGGAAAACGACTTCCCACTGCATCTGGAAGGGCCCTTGGCATGCGTGATACAGACTCCCATTTTGTAGCTGCATAATGCTTGCGAAATGCACAATATTTCTGAAGCCTCCACTGTCTTGCTGGTGCCCTGACTGGCCCTGGCTTTGATGCACAAGGCACATCGAAAGAACAATGCTCCCTGCCTGGCTGTACATCCATGATTTTGAGGCTTGATCCTGTGTTGTCAGCATTCCCAAGTAATAACCCCATAGAAATCAGAACTGCGAGGCAGGCAGATTCCTCCAAGAACAGTTTTATTGAAGAATATTGGCACAAACTGGTGAAAACCAACTCTGAAAGTTCCCGCGATTTTCACCTAATTAAAAGTCGTCCCCCCACTTTCCCCCAAACAGTCACATTGTCTAATCAAGATGCTGGCCAACTTCACGAAACCGGTCCCTGGTGCCCAAAATGTTTTGTTTTTTTTTTGGGGGGGGGGGGGGGGCCGCTCCTGCAGACCTCTTCATCCTTACTGAATTCAAGGAGCAGATAAATCCGCCGTCACCGATAGAATAACCTTGCAGGGCTCACCTCAAACATAATCCCTGGGTCCCAAAGCTTATATTTTGAACCGAGAGTGCAGGATTTGCCGAACCGCGTTAAGGATTTTATATCCAGCTTGGGAGTTAGAAAACCTGAAGTAAACTACGGTTGTCCTTTAGTAGCCCATTGTTTCCCTCACAGTTTGGAAACTAACGTGGCCAAATTGCAAAAGCTGTCAGACCGTGTGGGAATGAGAGGGAATAGACAAAAGACTCCACAGGGGGGAAATGTAGACTGTGGCCAAAAAAAACCCCCATCAACGTTAATGTGGACATGGTAACGTTAAAAATTCAGTGTGGTTTTGTTGTGGCATTTGTATCTCTTCAAATTTTAACCTTTCCAGGTTTACCGCCCGACATTACAAAAGATGAGTTTGTGGAGGTGATGTCAAAATGTGGTATCGTTATGCGCGATCTTCACACGGAGGAACCAAAAATCAAACTTTACAAAGACAAAGAAGGAAACCTTAAAGGCGACGGGCTCTGTTGTTACTTAAAGGTTAGTTGTTTATTCTGTCACAGTATAACACCTTTATGGTGATCCTACGGTTGCAGTTGTCATTGCAAACACAGAGTCTCTTTTTTTATTGAAATTTAATTTCATTTAACTTGTGGGCATTCCTGCAGACATCAACAAGATTTATGAGAAGCGTGTGGCAATGTCTGTCACAAATATTGTTCCTTTTGTTAGGTGGGGGAAAAAGGGGGTCTTTTTAAAGCAGGGTTTTATTTTATTTCCTCTCCCTCCCTTTCCCCAGAGGGAATCGGTTGAACTTGCGCTGAAATTGCTGGATGAGAAAGAAATCCGAGGCTACAAACTACATGTGGAAGTTGCCCAGTTCCAGCTGAAAGGCGAATACGACGCCAGCAAGAAGAAAAAGAAATGCAAAGACTACAGAAAGAAGCTGTCCCAGCAGCAAAAGTACGTGGCTGTTTTTCAGGATACCTCAAAACTTTTATAAGAATGTTTCGCTTTTGAGGTTCAGCTCCATTTGCCTGTGGAAAACATAGCTAAAAGACTTGCCTTTTCACGAAACCCGGGGCTTTAAAAGGTTGTCTTTGTTTTTTTAAAATGCATGAGACCTTGATCTTTAAAGTAGCTCAAATCACTCAGGAGGCCAACTCCTCATAAAATTGTGGATTTAGATGTCAAATTAACTTTCACGTAAGTGGTTTATAAATAACATCAGTTTCAAGGCTGCTGGAAAACTGGCTTTCCTTACTGGGGAACAAAAATTCTGACAACTCTTGATTTCAGAAGCATCCCGTTAATTTCTTTTTTTCCAACAACAAAATGCTTTTAGAAACTGAAGAGAACCACCCCCTCAACCTCTTAAATGTTGCTTCATTTCATTAGACTGCTGGATTGGCGGCCGGAGAAGAAAGAGGGGAGTGTGAGATTGCGACATGAGAGGGTTATCATCATCAGAAACATGTTTCATCCCAACGATTTTGAGGTAGGTTAAAATAATAATAATAATAATAATAATAATAATAATAATAATAATAATAATCCAGCAGGAGTTCATACACTGCAATCCCTCCTCCCTAAGGCCTGGGAACGTGTCGCCTCTCAAAGATGACGAATGAAGTTGGCCTCGTCACAAGCCGAGAAGCGTCTGGCATAATAGGGCCAGCTAAAGTTAGACAGGATTGTTCCATTTTTAGGCTGTTTCTGGCTGAGGCTGTTGGGACTATCATATCCAGCAATTTAATTTTCTGCTCCTGCATTTGAGGGCATAACGTTACCCTCCAGTGGGACATACGCCAAACATATTTAGCAATAGCATTTAGGCTTCTGTAGAATAGAATAGGAATAGAATAGTTAAGAATTCTTTCTTGGCCAAGTGTGATTGGACACACAAGGAATTTGACTTGGTGCAAATGCTCTCAGTGTACATAAAAAGAAAAGGTACATTTATCAAGAGTCAAGAATCATCAGGTACAACACTTAGTAATAGCCATAGGGTACAATAAGCAATCAAATCATTCTAGGAAACAGTCAAAAAAATCATTAGGATACAAACGACAAAGTTACAGTCATGCAGTCACAAGTGGGAGGGGATAGGTGATAAGGAGTGATGGGAAGATTAATAGTGGTTTTACAGCACTCTATGGGTGGTTTGCAATGATTATTTGCATATTTCCCCCAATAATCTGGGTCCTCATTTTAAGACTGCAGAAAATTGGAAGGCCAAGTCAACCTTGAGCCAGGTTGAACTCCAGGTGTGGGCAGAGTTGGCCTGCAATGCTGCAGTTTAACCACCCCGCCACCAGAGCTCCTTTATCTGTTCATCTCTTTATATTTACCCAAGGGTTGGGAGTCATGGAGCCCGTAGTCCCAAAATGACTGAAGTTTCTGCTGCACAAAATTCTAACTGGAGAGCATGATTGATGACTCTTGGCTATGGAGGTGTCCCATTGGAGAATATGAATTAAGATACACCCAGGGGGTGGGGGGAAAACCAAGGTCAAGGGTGACAATGAATGATGTGTCTCAAAGTCGGCTACACCCAGGCAGTGCCGTCATGTTAACTCCCAATAAATCCTTTAAAGTTTTGGAAGTTTGGCTCGAGACTCATGATTTAAATGGGAATCCTGACATTTGCTTTCTGAAAGTGTTGGATCTGTTTTTAAAATATGCTTTTAAAATGTCTTTCCAGGAGGATCCCTTAGTGCTAAATGAGATCCGGGAAGATCTACGGACAGAATGTGAAAAATTTGGTCAAGTAAAGAAAGTCATTATATTTGATGTACGTTACCGGAAATACTCCATCCGAATTTTGCATTGTATTTTTGAAACTCTTCTTCTACAAGAGCACTCAAAATTTCCCCCCACTGGTTGGGCTCCCTTTAGAACCGTCAGTTTGTTTGGCAAAGAACCAAATGATTTTTTAAAAATTGTCAAACGTTCATTATTCAGCGTATCCCTGGAAATACGGCCGAGCCCTTCGAAAACGTTATTTCTGTATTGTGAGCCTTGGAAACAGCAGCTGCATTTGTACAATTAAAATCAGGGAAGTTTTAAAACATGCTACATTCGGCAGTTTGAAAAGGGTTTAATAACCTGGAAAGATTACTAGACTTCTGGAAAAACCCAGATATTCTTATCATTACGGACAGGCGTTAGGAGAATATTCAGGAAATGTGGTATCCAAAGCAACTTAAAATTATTTCAAAGCCTGTTTTGTTTTGTTTTTCTCTCTAAAAGTGGCAGTTTTAGGAGAGAAGTCATTTTATCATGTTTTGTAAATCCCCAGGACAGAATTTGTGATTCTGAAATAAGGTCGTCTCTGAAATACGGCAGGTGATGCCTAGATTGACAACCCTGAAGCTGGCCTGGCTGTGGCCATTTTCTGTAGTTTTTTTTCTGTAGGGATTTTCAGGCTTGACACAGCCTGGAGCTTCGGAGCAGGGAGGGGAGGGGCGGTGTGTGGAGATAATTGGGGTGTTTCCCCTGGGAACAAAGGACGTTGCCACAGGGGTTTGGCAGATGGAGACCGAAGACAACCAACAATTAGACTGTGTGCTTATTGGATCATGTGGCTGGTGACTCTGTTCTGACCAAGACTTCCCCAGACCATAATTAAGCACACGCTTAGTCCAAACAACTTTTGATTTATTTCAGTGCTGGGAATTATGTTCATTCCCAGCCGGAAATGAATCCCAAACAGTTCCTTAAGATAAGCACCCCGCCTTTCTCCTTTGAACTGCTGCCAACAACTAGAGTGCCAAATGAATTACTAAAAACACCAACCGAAGTATAAAGTCCACACAGAGCTTCAAGGTTTAATCTGAACAGAGGAAACGACTTTGCTTCCTGCAAAGGTTTCTCTACCTTTGCCTTTCCTTTATGCCTTAGGGAAGGGGCAATCACCTCCAAGCCTTACTCCCAAGTCGCCCCTTCTGTTTCAGCTGCTCTCGCCTTCTAGCAGCTCTGCACATATGTGCCCTGGGAACAGGCTCCCCTTGTTCCTCTGCCTTGCTGCTGCCAGACTCCGGAGGCAGCACCCCACTCCCAGATGGTCCTGGTCCCATCTCTGCATTGGGCGCAGAACCCTCGTCTGAGTCCTCTCCAGACTCCTGGACTGGTCCCTGTTCTTCCCCACTGTTCGATTCCGCTGCCGTCTGCACAGGGTGCCGGCGAACCGTAACAGACTCTTGGGGGGGGGGGGCAGTTTCTTCTTTTACTTTTAATTGGGTGTAAAACCAGCGGGAAAGTAGAGCCGGTTTTCCACCAACTCGGTGCCAATATGATAGGTCCCAGTAAAATGTTCTTGGAGGAGTAGGCCTACCTCGGAGTTCTCTTTGTTGGGGGGGATGTGTTACTTGGAACCTTGACATAGGTCTAATTTGATGGATCTCCCCCCCCCCCCCCGTTCCTATTTCTGCAGAGGCATCCAGATGGCGTGGCCTCCGTGTCCTTTAAGGAATCCGAAGAGGCTGACGTTTGCAAGCAGGCCCTGAATGGACGATGGTTCGGTGGGCGCCAGCTCTCCGTGGAAACGTGGGATGGCGTAACCGATTATCAGGTATATTTGGCTTAATGAAGGTGGTGGTTTTTTAAAAAAAGAAAAAAAAGGATGAGTAACGAAGGGAGCCAATCAAGACTGCAGGTCGAAACTGGGGGCGGGGCGGGCATGCGTTCTAGTCCTGCCTTAGGGACGGAGTTAGCTGGGTGAACTAGGGCCGGTCCTTCCCTCCCAGCCCTAGGAAGAAACCCTTCATGGCCAACCAGGTCTGAAATCTTACCAAGACGATGGCAGGGACGTTGTCCAAACAGCCTCTGGTGGGAGTCTTGACCGACCCAAAAACACGAATGACTTAGTTATTTAAGTTATTTCATGCTTTGCACTTGGCTTCTGAAATCCCTCTTAAAAGGGATTTCTGATCCGTAGGAGGGAAAACTCGTTTAATGACATGCTGTGGAAGTCGGATTCTTGTCATATAATGATTTCCCCAAATCCCATTTTAAATCTAAGCTGTTGACCATGAAACTAAGAGAATGCCTTGAAATGTCTTTGAATACGTCTTCCCATCCTCTCCTCCTCCTCTTCCTCCTCTTCTCCTGCTTCTCCTTTTCATCCTCCTCTTCCTCCTCTTCTGTTCCTCCTCCTTTTCCTCCCCTCCTCCTCTCCCTCCTCTTCCTCCTTGTCTCATCCTCTTCCTCCTCTTCTTCCTCTTCTGCTCCTTTTCCTCCTCATCCCCTCCTCTTCTTCCTTGTCTCCTCCTCTTCCTCCTCCTCTTCCTCCTCTTCTCCTGCTTCTCCTTTTCCTCCTCCTCTTCCTCCTCTTCTGTTCCTCCTCCTCCTTTTCCTCCTCTCCCTCCTCTTCCTCCTTGTCTCATCCTCTTCCTCCTCTTCTTCCTCTTCTGTTCCTCCTCCTCCTTTTCCTCCTCTCCCTCCTCTTCCTCCTTGTCTCATCCTCTTCCTCCTCTTCTTCCTCTTCTGCTCCTTTTCCTCCTCCTTTTCCTCCTCATCCCCCTCCTCTTCTTCCTTGTCTCCTCCTCTTCCTCCTCCTCTTCCTC